TCAAAGGATAGAAGACAATCATAGGGCATATTAAGATGCTTTAAGAAAATGGACAACTGCACGAGTGAGAAAAACACACCTGCTCATTCTTCAAGGGTAGCAAGAGTTTTGTTAGGACCTTACTCCATCCGCCCACAACTCTGACCTAGCCCCTGAGCATTTCAAAGAAACACAATCCGAGTCCTTCCAAGATGCAGAACTTCTGTTTTCACGTGGTGCCAATTGCAGAGTGCCGAATTCTTCCAGGGAAGGACTAGGCAGATGGGAATACCACCTGCAGATGTGCGCAGACCTGGGCGAGAAGCAGCAGCATCACCTTTCGATATTAATGTTTGAGTCGTTGGAATCTACTGAAATAGGTTTCTCTGACTTTGTAGCAATATTTTTTACTTCCCCTTGTACTGCCCTGACTCACGCCTTTCCTGATACCCTGGTGCTGCATGAATGGGACTCCCTCTTGGTCTGTGTATAGGCTTAGCCTGAGCACAAACTGTTTGGGAATTCCCATTCCACTCGATGATGTCACTAATGTGTTATGATCCACACAGGCAAATGCTTTTGTGTCAATGAGACACAGGTAACCATCGTTCTTACCCGTATCCTGGGCTTTCAGCCGAGATCCATCAAACGCCAGCTTGCTCCAGGCCCTCTGCTGAGTCCAGCATCAATGTCAGTTGATTCTTTTTAGCTCAGGGACTCTGTACATGCTTTCCAGCGGCTTTAGATGCTTGCTGTCTTAACTATTTTGCCCATAAAATCCTTCAATATTGCAACTTGTGGCTTGAATTTTTTTTTCTTCCATTCTTTCAGCTTGAGAAATGCTGACCATGTTCTCTTGTGGTTTTCTAACTCCACATCTTTGCACATTTCAGTACAATACTGGGCCTTCTCCAGCTGTGCCTCCGACGTTTCTTCTATTTGCTTTAGCTTCTCTACATTCAAGAGCAAGTTGCAGAGAACTGTCTCTGCATGTTTCTCACTGTTTCCTGTTGGGCTCGTTAAGGCAGAATCAGAACTCATGTAATGGGCAGTAGCCACACAGTTTAGAAAGGTGTCCTGGGAATGCTTTCATTTACCCTGAAGCTCCTCCTCTACCAGTTGATGGCCCAGAGCAAGATAACATAACTTCCCAAACCCTAGAACCACAAAGCCATTTAATTAACACTCAACTAATACACTGAGTTTAACAAGAGCCTAATTAAACAATGGCCCGACCATTACAAAACCCAACACTTTTACTTAAGTATAACTGCCATATGTCAAGAAGAGGTTTGGGGAAGTAAAGGTTCTTATACCTATTATGATTTATTATCACTCGATGGCAGTGAGTTGGGTTTTTGTTTGTTTGTTTGTTTTTGCTGATACCAAATGGGCAGGGCATTTTAGAAGACGAATACTATACAAATGGACAGATTTATAAGATTGTAAATACTGTGAAATAGGCAGATCACTGACTATACTGACATGCACTTGCTCAATATGTCCCTGCCATCCAAACAATACTGACTCATAGCAACCCTACAGGACAAGGTAAACTCTGAGACTTAACTTTTTTCGGGAGTAGAAAGCCCTGTCTTTCTCCTAGTTTCTCAATAAGTAATCAGTACTGCGTTATAAATACACCTATGTTAACTCCAGATCATATTGGCTACATTAGTTTAAAACAGCTAATAAGCCAAGGCCACTCCCATCTGCATTTGCAATATTGACAATGTTTGTGCATTCAATTGTGCGATTACATCCAGGTGAAGGCTACATCCATCACAGAAATTAAAGTTGGCTATGTCCAAATTGACCTTTAAAGAGTGAGTTCTGTGGGAGGAGAGGAGGGAGGGGAAAAAAGAGGAACTGATAACAAGAGCTCAAATAGAAAGTAAATGCTTAAAAAATAACGATAGCAACCTATGTACAGACATGCTTGATACAATTGATATATGGATTGTTATAAGAGCTTGTAAGAGCCCCCAATAAAATGATCTTTAAAAAATAAAAGAATGCACTATTTTCCTAAATGTTTCTTAAGAATTTAAGACAAATGTTGCCATCTGTACAGCAATGATCAGACATCTGATGAGCTCGCTCTTGCTCAGTGTTGTATCACAGTGTCACGTACCGGGCCCGGCCCGTCATAACCAAACACAAAGCAACAAAACCATTCCCATCAAGTCAATTCCCACGCACAGCAACCTGGGGACAGTGGCATACAACCAAACTCACTGCCATCAAGCCGATGCTGACTGCATCAGTCCTATAGGGAGGGTAGAACTGCCCCTGTGGATTTCCGAGACAGTAACTCTTTATAGGAGTAGAAAGCCCCATCTTTCGCCTGAGGATCAACTGGTGGTTTAGAACTGCTGACCTCTCCATTAGCAGCCCAATGCACAGTTTGCCATCAAGGCTCCAAGTAAGCCATAAAACCAAAAACCAAACTCACTGCCATCAAGCCGATGCCAACTCACAGTAACCCTATGTGACAGAGTAGAACCGACCCTGTGAGGACTATTACTTTACAGGAGTAGAAAGCCTCATTTTCCTCCCTGGGAGTGGCTGGTGGTTTCAAACTGTTGACCGTACAGTTAGCAGCCCAACCACTACTCCACACCACCAAGACTCCAGGTACAGTGATAAATACCTAGTAATGATGTAATGATCATCAACAGGTGGGCTGTGAAAGATCTGTGAAAGTCTTACAGGTGTAGCTCTCAAGCTCTCCGCAAACACACAAAGGTAGCTTTTGTTTGCAAAAAATAACTGGAAACTGAGCCTTAACTGAGGGATTCTGTAAATCAGGGAGGCATGTGGGGGAAGCAGCCTCGACAGGTGGGCCCTCTTCCTGATTTCCTTAGGCTCAGAGTAATTGTAAAATGATGTGATTTCATTCTTCTGGTCCCAATATATGTTCTTTCCTCCTTTCCAAAAGTTGGTATTTAAGGGGCACCCCAAGGCACAGAGGGTTAAACAACCGACTGCTAACGGAAAGGTCGTCAGTCAGAACCCGCCAGCTGCTTTAAGGGCGAAAGAAGGAGCCCCATTGGTGCAGTGAGTTTTGAGTTGCTAACCACAAGGTCAGCAGTTCGAATCCACCAACAGCTCTGCTAGAGAAAGATGAGGCTTTTGCCGCCCCCTAGGGTACCCACATGGGCAGTTTTACTCTGCCCTATAGGGTCGCTATGAGTCAGAATATATCTGGCACTTGGTTTGGCTTGGGCCAAGCTGAAGTGTAACTTAAATGCTGAAAATAAAGCAGTGTGGTAATATTTTTATGTCACTTTCTTCCATTCTTAACACTTGCAGCACTATTCTAGGGAATCTATGTTATTCGCAAATGTTTTCCCAGGAAAATTACGCCTGGGATTTAGTAAACCCCACTCAACATCAGTGCCAAAAGTTCCATTTAAGACAAAAAGTGTTAGTTTTGCTTTTTCCAAAACTCATGAAGCTACTTAAATTTAAAGCAGTGGTTCTCAACCTTCCTAATGCTGTGACCATTTAATACAGTTCCTCATGTTGTGGTGACCCCTCAGCCACAAAATTATTTTCGTTGCTACTTCATAACAGTCATTTTGCTACTGTTATGAATCAGGTGACCCCTGTGAAAGGGTCATTCGACCCCCAAAGTGATCACAACCCACAGATTAAGAACCGCTGACTTAAAGGCACCTTGGAGGCACCATGGTTAAGCACTGGAATGCTGACTGCAGGGTTGGTGTCTCAAATCCCACCAGCAGCTCCTCAGCTGAAAAATGAGGTTGGCTGCTCCTGTCAAGATTTACCGTCTTGGAAACCCTAAAACGCAGTTCAACTCTGCCCTACTGGGTCAACATGGGTCAGAATTGACTCCAGCGCACTGTTTGGTTTACTGGCATTTAGAGAATAACAAAAGACGAATCAAAACGCATTGCCAGTAAGGATTCCAACTCATATCGACCCTGTAAGGGCAGAGTACCCAGACAGCTGCACTGGGTCCCCAAAACTGTAAATCTTTACAGAAGCTGTCTACCCAACCGACCGACTGCCTGAGATCAATTCCAACTCATAGCAACCCTCTATAGGCTTCCCAAGACTGACAGCCTCATCTTTTTCCCTTGGGGCGGCAAGTAGATGTGAACTGTCAATCTTTCAATAAGTAGACCAGTAGCCTGAAGGAAAAGAGACCACAAATTTAATCAACTTAAAACCAAACGCACTGCTTGTGAGTGGGCTCCAACTCTTAGCGACTCCATGGGACAAGGTAGAACTTCCCCTGTGGGTTTTGCTAACTCATTACGGGAGTAAAAAGCCTCGTCTTTCTCCCCCACTTTAGCAAGGCTTCATTAGAAAGGAAGGAAAGAGAAAAAAATCAGAGACGTAATGCAATGTCATCCTGTCTCCTCCAACTCACAGCGACCTTATATCGGGCTTCCGAGGCTGTAAAATCTTTACCGGGGCAGCCCGCCTCCTCTTTCTCCCTCGGAGCGGCTAGTGGGTTTGAACCTTGCAGTGAGCAGGTCCACGCTTACCAGGCAGCGCCACCAGGGCCCTAGAGCAGACTGCCACGTCTTTACCCCACGGAACCGCTGCTGGGCTCCAGCCGCCCACCTTTCGCTTAACAGCCGTGCGTTTTAAGCGCTGCCCTTTAATGAGTCGGGCAGCGATGGAAGAAACAAGCCCAAGTGACCCGAGTTAGGAGAGTGACCCCCCCGTTGGAGGGCCGAAGTTGGTGCTAAACCGGCACCACGATTCCGCGACCCGGGACCACGAAGCACCAAGTCCGAGATGCTCCCAGGCGTCTGAGGAGGCCGGGGCCGAGCAGCGCAGGTTTGCTGGCCTCGGCCCCGAACCCGCGAGCCCAGGCCCTCCGCACCGCAGCCAGGCCCGACTCCCTCCGGGGCTCCCCGCGCCACCCGCGCCGGGCACACCCAGGCTCGCCGGCCTCCCTCCCGGTCCCCGCCGGCCCGGCCCCGCCCGGCGACCGAGCCTACACCCGTCCCGCCCCCGCCAGCTCCCCCGCGCCGCACGACCTTGGTGGTGCGGATGTGCTCCATCCCGACGGGACGTCGGCCCGCAGCCCGCCTCACGGGCGCCCCGGGAGCAGAGAAACAGCAGCGGCGACGGACCGCAGCCTCCCTCGGCCGGCCAGCGCCTCCACCCGTCAGCCCGCCCCGCGCCCACTGCGC